ACTCTGTGCTCCACTCATCTGCGGCCCAGGGCCGTCGGCTCATAGAGTACTCTGTGCTCCACTCATCTGCGGCCCAGGGCCGTCAGCTCATAGAGATTGAAAGTAGGATGGTGGGCTCCAGTGGCTGGGTGGGGGGTGGAGGAGGGGATGGCAAGTTAGTGTTTAATGGGGACAGTTTCAGTTTGGGGAGGTGAAAAGTTTTGGAGACTGGCTGTACATGAACACAGGTAATACTGCAGAACTGTAACCTTAAAAATGGTTAAGATGGTCAATTCCATTTTCATTTATCACAATTAAAAAGAAAAAAGAAAAGGTGCTCCTTTTTGAAAATACTTCATGAAGAGTGCTCGGTGCCTGTAGCTCAGCAGCTAGGGTGCCAGCCACATACACTGGAGCTGGCAGGTTCAAATCCAGCTCAGGCCTGCCAAACAACAGTGACAATTACAACAACAACGACAAAAATAACCAGGCATTGTGGCACGCACCTGTAGTCCCAGCTACTTGGGAAACTGAGGCAAGGGATTCACTTAAGCCCAAGAGTTTGAGGTTGCTGTGAGCTGTGATGTCACAGCACTCTACCAAGGGTGACATGAGACTGTCTCAAAAAAAAAAAAAAAGAAAAGAAAATACTTCATGAAGAGAAGAACATTCAACATGGCTTAGCAGTTTCTCTTGTAAAATGCTGCCCCCCCAGCACTTCCAGGGAAAGGAGACGTGAAAGAGAGCTTGACGCAGCCCTGGGGCTCTGGAGGGTGATATGGGTGTGGTCCCCTGCTGCTTTGGGTTGCAGAGGATGGTTGCTGACAGAAACTGGTGCTCACCTCATGTGCAGGGACAGAAGCCGAGGTGCATTTACATGGTCAGCACAGTTGCAGCCAGGAAAGGGGGCTCTTGGTTCTCACCTACTGAGCAGGACAGGGCCTGTAGGAGTCTCAGAATAGCTTTGCAAATGCATAAGGTGGGCTGGGTCCCAAGTACTTGAACATGTGAGGATATAGATGATACATGTGCACGCCCTCCTGGGTTTCTTTTTAATGTACAGTAATAGACATTCTAAAATATCATCTGTATCTATCTTCTCACATTTTTTGTACAACAAATATACCAGCACGTGCCAGGCACTCTTCCAGGTGCTGGGATGGTGTCAGTAAGCAGTTTTCACCAGCTTGTGTAATAGTGGAGAGGGCATAAACAAGCACATGATACAGACGGTAGGACCCAAGTGCCAAGATGCAGAGATGTGGGGCTGAGGCCAGGTGGGCAGTTTAAGTAAGGGTTGGCGGATGGCCTCACTGAGCCAGTGACATAGCAGGTATTCAAGAGCGGCCATGTGGACATTTGGAGGAAGAGGGGAGAAGTGTTCCAGGCTGTAGGAAGCAGTGCAGAGGCCCTGAGGCAGCTGTGTGCCCAGTGCGTGTGGTCAGGAGGCAAGGGCCTTGGTGGTAGAGCTGAGTGAGTGGGTCAGAGGACATGCTGAGAAGAGCTTGGGAGGCAGAATTTGAAGGGCTTGGAGACTGCTCAGAGGACTTAGGATTCCCCTGTGTGACTGACATGGGCGAAGCTGTGGAAGAGTGAATCTTTAGAAAGGCCTGGAGTCCAGGCAGCATGTGCAGGCTTGTGATGACTGCGAAGCATCCACGTGAGGGTGCTGGGTGCAGGAGGAGCCACCAGAGTGGCCTGTGCTGCAGTTACACGTGTGGTGGTTGTAATTCGTAGGTGGCACGTAAAGCCATGCGTTGGGTAAGCTCACTGAGAAGGAGTAGTGACTGTAGAAAGAGAAGTCCAGGGGTGAGCCCTGGGGCCTCCAGTGGAGAGCTTGGGATATGGAAGGAACCCGCAGGCAGATGAGGAGCTGCAGTGGAGGGGGAGGGGGAAATGCAGGCAGCAGGGTTTTCAGGGAAACCACAAGGACGAGAGGAGACTGACCAGTTGTGTCCAGTGCTGCTGAGGTCAAGGCAAGTGTTTGGAAATCACCATGGGCGAGTCCACCTGTGTGTGCCTGAGCGCTGGCCTGTTAGGGTCGCAGGTGGTGTTTACTTAGCGCAGTGCAGTGTGCTCGTCGCTCGTGGTGCTGCTCACTCTCTCCGTTGTCATCTTGAATGCCTACACCTTGTTCAATGTTGATTTGTGATTTTTCTTTCTCCCAAACTTACCGTGGGTGAGCAGGAGGAGCTCGCCTTTGTCTTTGAGATGCTGCAGCAGTTTGAAGATGCGCTGGTGCAGTACGACGAGCTGGACGCCCTCTTCTCCCAGTATGTCGTCAACTTCGGGGCCGGGGGTGAGTTGCGCTCTCAGCACTGAGGGCTTTCTCAGCATCTGCCACCTTCAGAGAGTCTGGAAGCTACCTGATGATCAGTCAGCTTTTGCTGTTGTTGTATAAATTGTATCGGGAGTATTCTCAGGATTCTTATAGGAAATGGAATGAGCATTAAGAATTAGTCACTTTCACTTTTTAGAAGAATCTTAAGTAATAAAAGCATTTACAAAGCTATTTTCAGGTATAAAGTGTTATTTCTGCAACTTAGCCTGCTGGAGTCACTCCCGTGCCTCCTTGTTAGGATGGGAGGAAGTCTTTTTCACTTCTGTTCAGAGATTGTCGTAGGCAACCTCAGGGCTCATTACTCTGAGTTCTTTTATGACACCCTTGTAAAGGGTATTCACCTTCTTTTAAGCTTTTAAATAGCATCTTAAATCCTTTTACAATTCCAGAATTAGCACAATGAAACCATATATAAAGAAAAACATTGATAATTGTCCTTGTTTTTTGCTAATTTTTATTTTGATAGAAATGGTATTTTTCAGACATTTCTCTGTAGTTCCTTCTAATGAAAAATCCATTGTGGCTACCTCTCCAAGTCATTTTATTTCACAGTGTGCATTACTGAGAGTTTATTAAATTGTCCCTGGTGTTGGACATTGGGTGGTTTTCTGCTTCTTGCCACCATAAGCAAGCATTGCTCTTTGTAGACATCTTTGCCTTGTCACGGTGTTTGAAGAAAGGAGTGATTTCGGGAATCCTGGTGTCAGTGGAGAGAGCCTGTGTGTAGGGAGCTGTCAGTCCCCACTGTTGGGCACTGTCCCTACTCTACAAGTAATAATGAATATCACTGGTGGATACTCACTCCAAGCCAGTTTTTATGATGTTCAGGTTTGGGTATTTTACTCTGCTAATATGCAAATATAAACACATAACCAATGAAAAGTATTTACTAAGTAAGTTAAAAAAATCAGAAGAGGTAAAACTGTATTTCTTGTATTTTTTTATGTCTTATTTGTCCTTACTACACATATATATATCTTTTAAATATCTTATACAAGCTGGGTGTGTTGGTGCTCACCTATAGTCCCAGCTACTTGGAGGCTAAGGCGGGAGGATGACTTGAGCCCAGGAGTTTGAGGTTGCACTAAGTTGTGATTGTGCCACTGCACTCCAGCCTGGGTGACAGAGCAAGACCCTGTCTCTAAAAACAAAACAAAGCAACAAAAAAAAAACCCTTATATATTTCTTATATTTCACATTTTTTTCCTCAGTTTTAAAATAAATCTGGGGCAATTTAAAATCCAAAAGTAAGCCTTAACCAAATTTTATGGCCGAATTATCATTATTGTAAAAAAATTGATTATTTTTATTCTTTCATTCAGTAAATACTTAACTGTTGGTCCACCATGTGCCAGGCACTGTTCTAAATACAGTGAGGAATAAAGCAAAACAAGATCCCCTCTGGGAGCTTACATGAAGGGACGTGGGCACGGAAGAGCACGTGTGTGGCCTTGTGTAGGGTGGTAATAAGCGTAGGCTGTAGAGAGGGATATGGCTGAAGGTGAGAGTGAGGGAAGTGCCTTGGAAGCTTAGACAGGGGTTGGGGTGGCCCCTCTGAGGAGGGGCCTTTGGCACAGAGGCCTGATGACATGTGGGAGTATTCCAGGAGAATCCTGGGGCAGGGCTTGGCAAGGGGCATTGCTGGTGTAGGGACTCTGGGAGAAGCTCAGCTCAGCGAAGGGCACTGCTGGCTGTGGCTGGCACTTCTGATGCTTAGCATGTCACACCCAGTTGTGTCCTAGTAAGAATATGGAGTGAACCGGTTTGACACCTCTTTTGGAAAGAGAAAAATAGATTAAGTTTTTTTCCATAAAGATCCTAATGACTTGTTGTTCTTACATTTAGTATCCTATTGAGGGAGCCTTGTTGAACTCTTTAACAGGCAAGGGTTTTTCCCTGATTGCTGCTGCTCAGCCCTCCACCCCCTGCCTATTCTTCTCCCTCCTAGGAGCTTGGCACAGGTGGGGAAATAAGTAGGAAAAAATGCAATCTAAGGAAGACTGAAGTCCCAGGAGGTCAGGGTAACAGGCACACTGCAGGCCACAGGAAAAGGGGCACTCACTAGCCTGAGGCCTCCAGATAGCTCCCTGACCTCTTCAGTTCCTGCTGCTGACTTTCTGGGCACAGAGACTGGTGTGCCTTGCTGCCTGGCCATGCTGTTCTGTGCGCACCTGCCAGGTGCTGGAGCTGAGTGGGGAACCACAAGACTAAAGGGGGAGGGCAGGAGCGGAGTCGTCAGTTATGAAGCTGTCTACTTGTGCCCAAGGCCTCCCATCCTAAGCGAGAATCTCAGTAAGGTGCGGTACCTGTAGTCAGCGCCTTTCATGATGTGTGTTTGTTTAGATGGTGCCAACTGGCTGGCTTTTTTCTGCCAGCCAGTGAAGAGCTGGAACGGACTGATCCTTCGAAAGCCCATAGATATGGAGAAGCGGGAGTTGATACAGAGGCAAGAAGCCGCCCTGTTAGATCTGCGCAGTTACCTGTTCTCTCGCCAGTGCACCCTGCTGCTCTTCCTGCAGAGGCCGTGGGAGGTGGCTCAACGCGCCCTAGAGCTGCTGCACAGCTGTGTGCAGGAACTGAAGCTCTTGGAAGTGAGTCAGCCCCTTTCCCCATTTACCCATTTATTGATTGTTCAAACAGAAAACTCTGCACCTTGAAGTTCCAGGCATTGAACTGTTAGTGCTTAGGAAGGAGTTTTCTTTTTCTAAATGTCTTTAATTTTTAGTGTATTATTTGAATAATTTTTACATCGATTAATTGCCCCAAAATATAATTTCTGCTTTCAACATGATGACGTTCATGTTGGTCCAAAGCAAGCCTCCTAGATGGGTTTCTTAATACAGCTTCCTGTATGAGCTGATCTTTACCGATAAAAATTACTCTTCTGTAAGTTTTGTGCATAGACGTTTGTTGTATTTCTAGGCTGTCTTTTCAGATAGATGGTTTTGCACATGGATGTGCAGGCAGCCACGTGAGTGAAACACAGCACGCTGTGCCCTGATGATGGGCAGCATGAAGCTTAATGAAGATATGTCAGGAATAAAGATGTATACACGTGCTTGTGTGTGAAGGATGCCAGTTAGTGAAGACTAACCTTTACGATTAATTCCCCAAGGACTTCTGAACTCCTGCTGCCATCATAATCATGCATATTTTAGTGAGGGAAGGGAGATCTGAAGGCCACAACTAGTCTGTGATTCTTGATGGAGTGGCCTCTTTACCCAGAACCATTCCCATGCATACTTAGAAGAATGTCACATACAAATTCAGAGGATTCGTGTGGTCACCCTTGCCCTCCATTCTCAGTTGATATCTCCTAGGTGAGTGGTCTGATTTTATTTTATAAACAAGGAAACCACATCTGAAAGAGGTAGGGTGACTTGCCCAAAGACATACCCGAGGTCCTGGGAGTGTCCTTCCTGTTGTACTCCACACGAAGGTCCCAGGGGGCAGCTCCCTGGAAGGCCCTTTTATAAAATCTCTCCTAAGTATAAATTTAGTATATAAGCCAATCCATTGGGAGAGATAGTATTTTATAATGTAATTTATTTTTTGTGCCCTAGCATACTAAATAAAAGACTCAACGCTTGGTTTAAATCATTTTAAGATACTTAAATTTTTTTTAAAGGTAAAAATAAAAAATAAAAACTTTATTTCTCAACATAGGCTCCATCGAGTTCAATACAGTCATGTAAGTAATAATACCTCAGTTTAGTCCGCCAAAAGAGCATAGCTTTTACGTCTGGAGACCTGGGTTTGAAACTCTGCTTGTCTACTTACTCTGTTCACTTATGCTGTGCTTCAGGAAAGTACTCAATTTCTCTGAGCTCTGATTATTTCCTGGGTAAAATATTTCGATTAATAGTAGTCAATACTTACTGAGCACCCACTACATGCAAGGCAGGGTGCCAAGCACATTTATGCATCTTCTCTTTGAAAATTTACCAGTGCAGGAGTCTGGGGGAAAATAAGTTTCAGCATTTACCTAACTAGTACATAACAGAGATTTGAACTCAAGGTTGTACGATAGCAGAGTCAAAAAAAAAAAAAAAAAGGTGCTAGGGGGAATTAGCTTGGTATTTAAACTTTTTTTTAACCTAAGTGAAATTATTTTAGTTTTTAAAGGAGAAATTCTTATTTCAGAGCTAATCTCATTAGTGCGTAGCCTGAATCACACTTAAGATTTTAAGAGTTTTTATCAGATTTTTCTTGTCTTAGATATCAAATCAAGCAAATGAGGAAAAATAACATTTTCTACCTCAACATGATACTGTTTGAGCTTCCTTTAACTGCACAGACTTAGAGCTTCGGTCGTTGCATCTGGCTGTGTGGACTGGGGTGACGTTACTGTTTGTACACAGTGCCAGACTCTCAGTGCATGGGTCCTAGAGATTTTACCTGATTTAGAGATGTTTGTCTTGGCTCAGCGCCTGTGGCTCAAGCGGCTAAGGCGCCAGCCGCATACACCTGACCTGGCAGGTTTGAATCCAGCCTGGGCCCGCGAAACAACAATGATGGCTGCAACCAAAAAATAGCCAGGCGTTGTGGTGGGTGCCTGTAGTCCCAGCTACTTGGGAGGCTGAGGCAAGAGAATTGCTTAAATCCAAGAGTTGGAGGTTGCTGTAAGCTGTGACGCCACAGCACTCTATTCAGGGCAACAGCTCGAGGCTCTGTCTCACACACAAAAAAAATTGGAGATGTTTGT